TTTGAAAACTAAAACATTTTTTCCATTATCAATATAGTAAAAGTTCATTTTCAAACTTAAGAAGTATAAAATATACAAAGAAGGAGGAAAAAAAACCCATGTTATCCAAGCACAATCTCTCACAATTTCTTTCCATTGTTTACTTCCTTTCATTTTTTTCTATACATACCTTTAAAAATATAAATTTAATATTTGAGAAATTTTACCAGGCCCTGAAACATACAACTTCAAATAGGCAATGTACACTGCCCAGTAGTCTATGCTTCTTTGTTAAGCTTTGTCCCTCTCTCTCAATAAGCATTGTTTCATATTCTCCACTTCCCTTCCCCTGACAGGTTTGAACCCCATCACTCTCACCTGATGACATCTCTTCCTACCTCATGGACAAATTTGAAGCCATCAGATGGGCTTTCCCACATGCTCTATTCTCCAGATCTTCAAAGCCACCTGCACCCCTAAATTTTCTGCTATTCATCCCTAATGGAGCAGTGGTTCTCAACCAAGACTCCACATTAGCGTCATCTGGGGAGCTTTGAAAAAAGCAGATGCTCAGGACCACTACTGGACAATCATATATCTCTAGGGGTAGGGCCAAGCACCAGTAATTTTTAAAAGCTCCCTAAGTGGTTTTAATAGAGAGCCAGGGAAAGAACATCTGGAATAAAGTGAATGAACTCTTCCTCCTCCTCCTCACCTTTCTTTCCTTCACCTTCTCTTTCTTTCTCTTCCATTTTCAAACAATTGAGTCCTAAAACCATTATATGCACTGAGAAATGTGTAGGTGTCTGTGGTGGGAGATGGGGGAGTCCAGGTGGCCCAGAGCAGGCAGTCAGGGCCCAGGAAGAGGCCCTTCAGAGGGATGACCTGGGGTGGGGAGTCAGAACCCGGATAGTGTGAAGAGTATCCACCTGCAGGGGTGACCCAGTGTGAGGACTCAGCCTGAGGGAGGTGCGGAGGGCGTTCAGGTGGAAGCCTGGTGAGGGGTGTCACAGTGCAAGCAGAATGAGAAAGTGTCCCTCTGGGATAGAATCCTGAAATGAAGGGTGTTAGCAAAAATTGCACTGGACAAAGGTAAACAGGCAAGGAAGACTTTATACGAGACTATGGCAATGGAGGGAGAGAGACTGAACTCAGCGCTACTGAAGCAAAAGCTGGGAAGGTCTTTAAGCCCTGGGTGAGCTCGTGGGAAAGTACTGGAGTACTAGAGGGGAGGCTGGTGGAAGAGATGTGTGGAGCACATCGAGCTACTCCTGAGTTCACAAATGTTTTTCTCCGAGATTAGGCCATCTGGGTTTGCTAGTTGGCACCCTTCTAAGTTAGTCTTCCACCCTCCCACAGAGACTGGGAGACAGGGGTGCTGTCTCCTTTGATGTTTGCATTTCAAAGACATGGTTCCCTGGAGCTTGAAAAAGACAATCCTGGGTTGCAAAACTGGCAACAGGCTGGGAGAAGATTTACGTACATTTTACAGGGGCAGGCAGAGAAAGAACTTGCAATTACGAGTTTTCTAAAGTTAACGCTCTAAGAAGTGAGAGACCTTTAGTCAGGGGCTTATAGTTAGGCAGAAGCCTGTCCAAAGCTTAGTCAAGCTGAGGGGATCATTAAGGCCATATTGGTCCAGATTCATAGCTGAGTAAGGAGAGGAGAGCATCTGTGCCGGGCAGGGAACAGCAGCGCTGAGATAGGACGTTGATTGGATAAAGGAATTGATTAAATAAGAAAAATATATAAAGAAATGAAAGCTGGATTTCTCACATTGGAGAAGTGAGTTACAAGTAGGAAAGAGAGTAACTTGTGCTGTGGAACTACAATTGGAGATATCTGTGTGAACTCAAGGTGTTCAATATATTTAGATATAGAAATAAATATAGCTGGGAATGTATCGTCTGGGATTACTCATGAAAGGGGAGAGAGACACCTCACTAGCACCCGGATCTTGGCTTCTAAATGCTGTTTTTCTCTGTAAAGGACCGGGAAACCTTGTCAAGACGGCTGAGTCTAGGGACAGGGAAAATATAAGCTTGGAACGTGTTTTGTGCCAGAAAGCAAAGAAGAGCTCAGAGAAAGATGAGGATTTGTCAAAAAATCTGAAAGACCAACTTGAATAGGCTCCTACTAGCCAAATATAGGACAATTTGAGCATCAAAATAGATAGTTTTACAACAGATTTTAATTTACTGAATGAAATAGAAAACTAAGAGTCCACACAGATATAAACAAATAAATGAATAAATGAGAAGTTCAGTGAGAAATAGTACATTCAGCCTGTTTCTAATTACCTCCCCACCAAATACTTACTAATGAAAAGGTGGGGGAAAACTAACATTACTGTGGAGAAGCTAGGTCAGTTTGCTGTTTTTCAGTGATATTTTCAAATCAAAGTGAACATCATCAAAATGAGACAAATGAGAATCATGTGCCACCTGATATGATCCAATGAAAACAAAGCATCACTTCTGTGATATTCCTGCCAAGATGCATGGCTTAAGTCTAATAATCTTGAAACATCATACAAACCTAAATTGAGGAACATTCTACAAAATAACTGGTCTGTAATCTTAAAAAGTACCAATGTCATAAATGTCACAGAAGAATTGAGAAATTGTTCCAGACTGGAGACTGAATGCAAAATGTGATTCCAAATTGGGTCTTTTTGCTATAAAAGACATGATTGAAACAACTGGTGAAACCTGAATGAAGTATGAGGATTAGATAAAAGTAATCAGTGTTAGCATCTAAGTTAACATCAGTGTTAACCTCCTTTGATAGTTGTGTTGTGGTTCTGTGTCCTTGTATCGTGATAAGAATTTCCTCATTTATTGAACTACACACTCAGATATTGGGGGATGATTAGACATCTTACTCAAATTGTTCATTTAAAATTTTTGTCTTTGCACTTCCTACTAATCTGTAAGTTTGTGATTAATGGGTTACAAGTTTGTGATTATTAATAATAAAAAAGGAATCATACAATTAACACCTGTATAACAACACTCCCAACCCCCAATAAAAAAAAAGAAGTAATCTTTTGAAATCCATTCTCTTCTTTACTCTCAGGGACTTAACTCCAACAGTTTCTCCTCTTATATTTACACTTTCGATTTCCCACTCTAAATGTCATCTTTTCCATCAGTATACAAACAAATAGGTTTAGAGTTCCTGGATTTTATTTGGAGATTTTACCACTCATGTGTGGGGGACTGGAATTGGCTACCCCAAGATATATCTCTTGGGCATGAGGATTTTTTTGGGGGCTGGTTACTTTTAATAAAAGCAACTCTTAGGAGCGAGTTTGCTTACCCTTTTTTAGGAGACAGTTACATTGTAAAGGAAATCTCCGTCTGTAAATGTGCCTCCCTCTGTACCAGGAAGAAGAAAGGGGATGAGCTTATCTCTAGAAACTCTTAATCAATGCCAAAGGCAAGGACTTAAATCTGCATAATAATCTTATTCCTGTTTCTGGTAACCTCCTGTAACTGACTCCCCCCCACTCCCAACATCCTCCTTTGTCTTTAGCTGGATATGATATTTAAGGTGGCGGCTTCAGCCGTTTTGGCTAGTTGCTCAGTTTGCCTGAGCCTCTCCCATGTATACGTGTTATAAAGCTTTGTTTAATTTTCTCCTGTTATTCTGTCTCATGTGAATTTAATTCATTCTCCGGCCAGATGAACCCAGAGAGGGTAGAGGAAATGTCTTCCTCCCCCACACATGAATGTATCCATAAGCTATATATTGCTTAGTTCTGTCTGTTAGAACTGGGTTTTATGTATTCACACACTTAGCATTGTTTCTGAGATTCATTCATGTTGATGTAACTGTAGTTAATTTTTTTCATTGCTATGTAATATTCCATTGTATGAATCTGACTTATCCATGCTTCTGTTGATGAGGATTTGGCATAATGCAGTTCTGAACATTCTTGTCCATGTCTTCTGATGTACATGAGCAAGAACTATTCTAGAAAATATTGCTTGGAGGGGAAGTGAGGGTTGTAGAGTATGCAAATGATCAACGTTCCTAAATAATGCTAGGTGTTTCCCAACGTTGTACTAGTTTACACTCCTATCAGTAGTTCATTAAGAGTTCTCCTTACTCTACATCCTTGCCAACTCTTGGTATTAGGAGACTTTCTAATTTTTGCCATGCAGGTGGGTGTGAAATTGTATCTGGTTGTGGTTTTAATTTCCTTTTCCCTCATTATTAATGAGGTTGAAAATCTTTTCATATGTTTAGGGATTTTTGTGCTTTCTCTTCTATGAAATTCTTGTTCATTTCTCTTGCACATTTTTCTATCAGATTGTGCATGTTTTTCTTATTTGTTTTAGAATGTTTTAATATGCTCTGGATTCTAATCCTTTATCCACTGTATGTATTGCAAATTAATTCTAGTTTTTAGTTCCTTTTGCTTACTTTGTGGCAATAAACAGAAGTTCTTAATTTGAATGTGGTTAAATTTTTGTGCCTTTTCCTTGTTGTTTATGCTTTTAGTGTCTTATTTGGAATATCTTCTCTACTTTGAGGTCATAAGATATTCTTGCATATGGTTTTGTAAATGCTTTAGGTTTTGCCTTATACTGGGAGTTGATTTATGTGTAGGGTATGAGATAAGTGGTCCAATTTTATTTATTTCCACATGGCTGACAAATTTTCCCAGCACCATGTCTTCAAAAATCTATCCTTTTCCTACTGATCTGAAAAATCATACAATATTTCAAGTATAGAAATATTCTTGGGACTATTTCTGGGTTCCATAGTTTGTTCCATTGTGTATTTGCTCTCCCTGCAAGAAAAGCACACTGACTTGATTGTGATAGTGTTATGTCTTTCTTTTTTTTTAAAGATTGGTACCTGAGCTAACAACTGTTGCCAATCTTATTTTTTTTTCTGCTTTATCTCCCCAAACCCCGCTGTACATAGTTGTATATCCTAGTTGCAGGTCCTTCTAGTTGTGGGATGTGGGACGCCGCCTCAACGTGGCCTGACAAGTGGTGCCATGTCTGCGCCCAGGATCCGAACCCTGGGCCACTGCAGCAGAGTGCACGAACTTAACCACGCGGCCATGGAGCCGGCCCCATGTTATAAGTCTTGATGTCAGGTAAGGGAAGTCCTCCCAGCTTTTTCTTTTTAAATTGTCTTGGCTATTCTTGGGCTTTTATTCTTTTGTATATAGAAGTATTAAAACAAATTAAAGAATTTTTTTCTCTGAAACTTAGTAAAATGAATAGAAGAGAAAATAAAAATCAGAAGAAAAAGCCTCCAGCCACATTCAAACAAAGAAAGTGGTACAAGCTTATTCCATACACTTAAAGTGTTAATCATGAAAAGAGACACAATAATCCAAGAATTGACATGTGGCATCTACTTTCAAAATTCAAAATGAGGGAAAAGTGAGTAAACAAAATCCTGGAAAATTTCAAATACTCGTAGCTTGTGGAGAAACCACTCAAATGGCTCAGCAGGCAACCAAGAGGAAAGAAGCAAAAAACTCTTGAGAATAGAAACCCTTTCCTATCATCTTAGTGTCTCCATCCTCACCCCAATCAGGGGAAAGTAGTAGACAGATGGTATAAAAATCAGATTTTCCTAAAGTGAAATATCTCCAGCAATGAAAGCCAGAAAATAGAAAATGAATAGATAAGATCCAAGGAAGGGATGACAGGCCAGAGAGCACGAGACATGGAGAGCTTCTGCTTAAGTATATTTTTTCACACTAGTTCAGATCAGTAATTATAACCTGCAGGTTCCAGCTCTTTTTCCCTCTCTATCTCTGAAGGGATTGGGAATGGTTGTTAAAGAGGCAAGTGGAAAAAAAATTAGGTCACCACTTTAAAGGTGACCTAATTCTCTGGAAAAAAGAAATGTATATATACTTGACACACAATAACTATGGAATCTAACTCAGGGTAGATGGGGGATTGTGGCCTCTCTTGGAATCAATGTTTCTGGGCTTAACGTGATTGGGAGAATGATGCTAATGGTATGTCTTCCACATGGTGTTCATTACATAGCATGCTCCCTGCTGTGGGACCAAATAAAATTAAATCACTTAAGTCTCCTCCTATTAAATTAAGTACCAGATGACTCAATGATTTAAATGTAGTAAGTAAATTCATTAATACACTCTCAAAAAATATGACGTTTTCAAAATATTAAAATGGGGAAGGAATAATATAAACCCTAAAAGGCATACAGAGAAAAAACTAATAAATTTGAGTTGCATAAACATGTAAATGACTTTGCAAAATATAACATAAAATAAGCCAAAAGAGCACTTGGTCAACCAGGATAACTACCTACAATACTTACAAAGAATTAATTTTCTTTTTAAAAAAAATTATTTTATTTTATTTTTTATTGTGGTAACATTGGTTTATAACATTAGATAAATTTCAGGTGTGCATTATTATATTTTGATTCCTGTGTAGATTACATCATGTTCACCACCCAAAGACTAATTACAATCCATCACCACACACATGTGCCTAATCACCCCTTTCATCCTCCTCCCTCCCCGCTTTCCCTCTAGTAACCACCAATCCAATCTCTGTCTCTATATGATTGTTGTTGTTCTATCTTCTTCTTATGAGTGAGATCATGTGGTATTTGACTTTCTCCCTCTGACTTATTTCGCTTAGCATAATGCCCTCAAGGTCTATCCATGTTAACAAATGGCCGTTTCTAATGGCTGAGTAATATTTCATTGTGTATATATACTACATCTTCTTTATCCATTCGTCCCTTGATGGGCACTTAGGTTGCGTCCAAGTTTTGGCTATTGTGAATAATGCTGCAATGAACATAGGGGTGCATGCATCTTTACTCATTTGTGTTTTCATGTTCTTTGTGTTTTCATGTTCTTTGGATAAATACCCAGCACTGGGATAGCTGGATCATATGGTAGTTCTCTTGTTAATTTTTTGAGGAATCTCCATACTATTTTCTATAGTGGCTGCACGAGTTTGCACTCCTCCCAGCAGTGTATGAGAGCTCCCTTCTCTCCACATCCTCTCCAACACTTATTAATTCCTGTCTTGTTAATTATAGCCATTCTAAAGGGAAGTGATATCTCACTGTAGTTTTGATTTGCATTTCCCTGATAGTTAATGATGTTGAACATCCTTTCATATGTCTGTTGGCCATCTGTATATCTTCCTTGGAGAAACGTCTGTTCAGATCTTTTGTCCACTTTTTAAGTGGATTGTTAGTCTTTCTGTTGTTGAGATGCATGAGTTCTTTATGTATTTTGGCTATTCACCTCTTATCAGATATATAGTTTGCAAATATCTTCTCCCAATTGTTAGATCTTTTCGTTTTGTTGATGGTTTCCTTTGCTGTGCAGAAGCTTTTTAGTCTGATGTAGTCCCATGTGCTTATTTTTTCTATTGTTTCCCTTGCCGGGTCAGACATGGTACTTGAAAATGTGCTGCTAAGAGCAATGTCAAAGAGCGTAGAGCCTATACTTTCTTCTAGAAGTTTCATGACTTCAGGTCTTACCTACAAGTCTGTAATCCATTTTGAGTTGATTTTTGTGCATGGTGTAAGATAATGGTCTACTTTCCTACTTTTGCATGTGGATGTCCAGTTTTCCCAAAACCATTTATTGAAAGGACTTTCCTTTTTCCATTGTATGTTCTTGGCTTCCTTGTCAAAAATTAGCTGTCCATAGATGTGTGGGTTTATTTCTGGGCTCTTGCTTCTGTTCCATTGAGCTGTGTGTCTGTTTTTGTGCCAGTACTATGCTGTTTTGGTTCTTATAGCTTTGTAGTATATTTTGAAATCAGAGAGTGTGATACCTCCAGGTTTGTTCTTGTTTCTCAAGGTTCCTTGGGCCATTCAGGGTCTTTTGCTGTTCCACATAGATTTTATGATTCTTTTTTCTGTTTCTGTGAAAAATGTTGTTGGAACTTTGATAAGGATTGCATTGAATCTGTAGATTGCTTTAGGGAGTATGGACATTTAACTATGTTAATTCTCCCAGTCCAAGAGCACGGAATATCTTTTCACTTCTTTGTGTCTTCTTCAATTTCTTTCAACAATGTTTTATAGTTTTCAGTGTAGAGATCTTTCACCTCTTGGTTAAGTTTATTCTTAGATATTTTATTCTTTTTGTTGCAATTGTAAATAAGATTGTATTCTTAATTTCTCTTTCTGCTACTTCATTGTTAGTGTATAGAAATGCAACTGATTTTTGTATGTTGATTTTGTATCTTGCAACTTTGCCATATTCATTTATTATTCTAAAAGTTTTTTGGTGGATTCTTTAGGGTTTTCTGTATATAAAATCATGTCATCTGCAAATAGTGACAGTTTCACTTCTTCTTTTCCAATTTGGATCCCTTTTATTTCTTTTTCTTGTCTGATAGCTCTGGCTAGGACTTCCAATACTATGTTAAATAAGAGTGGTGAACGTGGGGTGTCTTTGTCTGGTTCCTGTTCTTAGAGGGATAGCTTTCAGTTTTTCTCCATTGAGAATGATATTAGCTGTGGGTTTGTCATATATGGTCTTTATTATGTTGAGGTACTTTCCTGCAATACGCACTTTATTCAGAGTTTTTGTCATAGATGGATGCTGTGTCTTGTCAAATGCTTTCTCTGCATCTATTGAGATGATCATGTGATTTTTATTCTTCATTTTGTTGATGTGGTGTACCACATTGATTGATTTGCAAATGCTGAACAATCCCTACATCTGGGGAATAAATCCCACTTGATCATGGTGTATGATCTTTTTAATGTATTGTTGTATTCGATTTGCTAGTATTTTCTTGAGGATTTTTGCATCGATGTTCATCAGTGATATTGGCCTGTAATTTTCTTTTTTTGTGTTGTCCTTATCTGGTTTTGGTATCAGGGTAATGTTGGCTTCGCAGAGTGAGTTAGGAAGCTTCTCTTCCTCTTCTATTTTTTGGAAGAGTTTGAGAAGGATAGGTATTAAGTCTCCTTTGAATGTTTGCTGGAATTCCCCAGGGAAGCCATCTGGTCCTGGACTCTTATTTTTTGGGAGGTTTTCGGTTACTGTTTTGATCTCTTACTGGTGATTGGTCTGTTCAAATTTTCTATTTCTTATTGATTCAGTTTTGGAAGGTTTATGATTCTACGAATTTATCTATTGCATCTAGATTATCCAATTTGTTGGCATATAGCTTTTCATAGTATTCTCTTATAATCCTTTGTATTTCAGAGGAGTCTGTTGTGATTTCTCCACTTTCTTTTCTGATTTTATTTATTTGAGCCTTCTCTCTTTTTTTCTTGGTGAGTCTAGTTCAAGGTTTGTCAATTTTGTTTATCTTTTCAAAGAACCAGCTCTTGGTTTCATTGATTTTTTCTATTGCTTTTTTAGTCTCTATTTCATTTATTTCTGCTCGGGTTTTTATTACTTCTTTCTTTCTACTAATTTTAGGCTTTGTTCTTCTTTTTTCAGTTTCTTTAGGTGCGCTGTTAGATTGTTTATTTGAGATTTTTCTTGTTTGTTGAGGTAGGCCTGTATTGCTATAAACTTCCTCTTAGAACTGTTCTTGCTGTATCCCCTAAATTTTGGCATGTTGTATATTCATTTTCATTTGTCTCCAGGTATTTTTTGATTTCTCCTTTGATTTCTTCATTGACCCAATCGTTGTTCAGTAGCATTTTGTTTAATCTCCACATTTTTGTGGTTTTTCTGATTTTCTTCCTGTAGTTGATTTCTAGGTTCATACCTTTGTAGTCAGAAAAGATGCCTGGTATTATTTCAGTCTTCTTACATTTGCAGAGACTTGTTTTGTGGCCTAATATGTGATCAATCCTGGAGAATGTTCTATGGGCATTTGAAAAAAAAATGTGTATTCTGTAGTTTTTGGTTGGAATGTTCTGTATGTATCTATTAACTTCATCTGGGCTGGTGTGTTATTTAAGGCCAATGTTTCCTTATTGATCTTCTGTTTGGATGATCTATCCATTGGTGTAAGTGGATTGTTAAAGTCCCCTACTATTATTGTGTTAATGTCTATTTCTCTTTTTATTATGTCTGCTAATAATTGCTTTATATATTTAGGTGTTCCTGTATTGGGTGCATAGATATTTACAAGTGTTATATTTTCTTGTTGGATTGTTCCCTTTATCACCACATACTGCCCTTCTTTGTCTCTTGTTAGAGTTTTTATTTTAAACTTTGTTTTGGCTGGTGTAAATATTGCTACTGCAGCTTTCTTTTCATTGCCATTTGCATGGAGTATCTTCTTGTATCCCTTCACTTGCGGTTTGTGAGTGTCTTTAAGTCTGAAGTGTGTCTCTTGTCTGCAGTATATATATACGGGTCTTGTTTGTTTATCCACTCATCCACTCTACGCCTTTTGATTGGAGCATTTAGTCCATTGACATTTAAAGTGGCTATTGACAAGTATGTACTTTTTGCCATTTTGTTACTTTTTTTCTGTGTGTTTTAGTAATTCTTCTCTGTTACTTTCTTCTTCTCTTGCTGTCTTCCCTTGTGGTTTGATGGCTTTCTTCAGTATTATGTTTGGGTTCCTTTCTCTTGATTTTTTGTGTATTAATTATAGGTTTCTGGCTTGTGATTACCATGAGGTTCATATATAATAACCTACGTATAAGCAGTCTGTATTGACGCTCCCTTAATTTGACCTCTTTCTAAAAGCTCTACTCTTTTACTCCCCTCCTCCCAGATTTTGTGTTTTTTTGATCATATCTAACCTCTTTTTGTATGTGTGTGTATCCATTCCCTCTTATTATTGAAATAGGTAATTTTAGTACTTTTGTCTTTTGACCCTTATATTATCTTCTTAGGTGGTTGATGCTACCTTTACTGTATTTTTGCCTTTGCCAGTGATTTTATTGTCTTTTTTTGTGTGATAATTTTCTTATTCCTATTTGTGGTCTTCCTTTTCCCACTTAAATAAGTCTCTTTAGCATTTCTTGTAAAACTGGTTTCTTGGTGATAAACTCCTTTAATTTTTGGTTGTTTGGGAAACTCTTGATCTCTCCTTCCGTCTGAATGATAACCTTGCTGGATAGAGTATTCTTGGCTATAGGTTTTTTTCCTTTCAGCAATTTAAATATATCATGCCTCTCCCTTCTAGCCTGTCTGTAAGGTTTTGCTGAGAAGTCAGCTGATAGCCTTATGGGGTTTCCTTTGTATGTAACTTGTTGCCTTTCTCTTGTGGCTTTTAGGATTCTCTCTTTATCCTTAAACATTGACATTTTAAGTATAATGTGTCTTGGTGTGGACCTCTTTGGGTTTAGCTTGTTTGGTGCTCTCTGTGATTCCTGTGCCTGGATGTCTGTTTCTTTCCTTAGGTTAGGAAAGTTTTCAGCTATTATTTCTTCAAATAGATTCTCTGCCCCTTTGTCTTTCGCTTCTCCTTCTGGGACTCTTCTAATACGAATGTTAGCATGCTTGATATTGTCCCAGAGGTCCCTTAGACTGTTCTCTATCTATTTAGTTCTTTTTTCTTTTAGCTGTAAAGAACTAATTTACTTAACCTATAAAGACTCTGTACAAATCAGTAAGGAAAAACAAAGCAGCTCAATTTAAAATAAATAGATAAATAAATGAGCAAAGATATGAAAAGAATTTTCAAGAAAAAATCAATAAACACAAGAATATTCTCAACCTCACTCATAGTCAAATGCTTTATAACAAAACAATATACAATAACATTTTCTCATATCTTTTTGCCAAAAAGAAAAAGTTTAATAATACCTGGTATTGGGGATGGTATGGAGAAGCAAGATAACTCATACACTGTAGGTAGAAATGTAAATGAGAATAATCTTGAGAGAAATTCAGCAGTATGTCTGACAACTATAAATGCTCAAAACCAAAGCAAAGCTTGAAGAAAAAAAAATCATAGGAGAATATAATTGCAGGCAAAGATTTCTTAAATGGGACCTAAAAGTGCTAACACTAAAGAAAAAATTGATAAATTAGATTACATATATTAAGATCAAGCAACTGGAACGCTCATACACTGATTGTGGGAGTATAAATGCATACATCCACCTTGGAAAACTGTTTGGATTTATCTACAAATGCTGAACATTCTAGGTATATCCAAGAAAGATGAATGCATGTCTTCACCAAAAGACATGTCCAAGAAAGTTCATAGCAGCTTTATTCATGCTATGTCCATCAAGAGTAGAAGGGAGAAATAGTGGTAGAGTTATATGATGAAATACTATATTGTGATGAGAATGAATGAACCATTGTCACCTGAAGCAATATAATGTTGAGTGAAAGGAGCCATACAGGAAAGAATACAAATGGTATTATGCACTATTTGCACAAACGTCAAAAGCAGATAAAATTAATCTATGGTGGGAGAATTCATGATAGTTGTTGCCCTTGAGAAATGAGTAGGGACTTGGAGGGAGGCACAAGGATATATTCTTGGATGTTGACAGTGTTCTGTTTATTAATATAGCTGCTGGCAACATAGCTGTGGTCACTTAGTGAAAGTTCGTCAAGCTGTACACTTTTGATATGTGCATTTTTTGTATATATCGTATACTTGTATAAAAAGTTTACTTAAAATACTCAATTTATACTAGAAAATGTCCAATTATTTCCCTGCTAAGACTTTATTTTATGAAAAATTTCTAAAACACATCAAAGTATTTATACAAAGATATTTCCTGAAGCACTTTGGTAATCCTAAAGAAAAGCCAGCAACAACCTTACTGACCAGAAACAGGAATTGGTAGCATATTCGTACAACTGAAATATAGCCATTAAAAATAATTTTAGTACACCCCTATTGAAATGGAATCATTTCCAGAATCCAAGATTTATAATTCAGTGGTAGAACAGGTGATATTATATAATCCAATTTCTGTAAAAATATTTAAAAGTGTATAAAAGTATATAGACATAGACTCTTCATACGCACATGTATACATAAGCAGGAATATGCATAAAAACTTTTTTGAAAATTAGCAGAAAATGGACGTGGTTACCTCTGAGGAAAGAGACCGGGGCTTAGGGGTAAGAAGAGATTTGCTTAAAACTGTATTTCTTTCTGTTCTGTCTGATTTTTTCCCATGTCTATATATTACTTTTTTACATTTTATTTATTTGTGAAAAATTTGGACTTGTTAGAATATATGATATAGATGTAGATGTGTGAAGGAGAGAGAGAAGTCTCAAATCATTCCTAAATTTTTAAATTTGAGAAACAGGTTGAATGGTGGTCCAACAAATCAGGGAAGGGAATACAGGGAGAGGCTTATTGGGGCATCAAGATGATGAGCTAAGTTTTGAGACTGTTTTAAGGCTGTATCAATTGTCCAATCTGTTGCTAAAGCCAGCATCCTTTCATTTATCCATTAAGTTGAATAGTTAACACAATTCTAGGGAGATAATTTAAACTGCTTCTTTTATATGTAGTGTTCCCTAGTGAAAAATCTATCCTTTAGCTTATCTTTTCACAGCAGAAGTACCAGGGAAATAAACTGAGGGACTTTTTGCCCACCACGCTTTTGAGAGAAAGTATAGAATTTAATATCAAAGATAGTGTATATTAATGCTGTTGTATCAGGTGGAACATTAGTTTCACTCATTTCCTCAAACTGTGACCCAAAGTAGCAGTGGTTTAATAAGGATTGAAGTTTATTTTTCTTTTATGTAAAAGTCCAAGTATTTGGACTAAGGCTGGTATGGAAACTCCACAGCCATCAGGTTCCAAGCTTCTTCCATCTCATTACTCTGCCATCTTCAACACATGACTTCCATCTTGTGACTCAAGATGGCTGCTCTAGCTGCTGCTATAATGTCTTTGTTACAGCCATGGTCAGTGGGATAGGGAAATGGTAGGTGCTTATTTATTTTGAAAGCATAAAACAGAAGTACAGGGGCTAGCCTGTTGCCAAGTGGTTAGGTTCACATGCTCTACTTCTGTGGCCAGGGGTTTGCTGGTTCAGATCCTGGGCACAGACCTACTCACTGCTCATCAAGCCATGCTGTGGCAGCATCTCACATAGAAGAACTAAAATTATCTACAGCTAGGATGTATAACTACGTACTGGGGATTTGGAGAGGAAAAAAAAGAGGAACGTTGGCAACAGATGTTAGCTCAGGGCCAATCTTCCTCACCAAAAAGCATACTTAAAAAAATAAATAAATAAAACAGAAGTCCAAAAACAGAGTCATACCTAGCAGTGCAGCTAAATATTCTATTGCTATATATCAAAGGAGAATAGATTTTGAGAGACAATTAGCCATGTCTTCCACAGACGTCTATTCACAATTCTATGACTCCTAAAAAGCATATATTCCCTTAAGTGAAATTGGAATCTGTGAAAACTAACTTCTGTATGCTTCAAAATTTTCAGGTCCAATATGCTTTTCTGGCATGATAAAAAATGGGAAGAGAAAAGACGAACACGTGACACAGAAGAAGTTGAGATTTGTACGATGAAAACTTTTAAAATCTGGGAAGATGTAGGGGAATAAATGTGCTGATGGTTTCTGTGAAGAGAGACATTTTGACAGAATGCTTTTATGTTTGACATTATCATTGGCCAAACTCAGACCCAATAATACAGTAAACTGAGAACCAATAACTAGGGTCAGGTCTGAGTACAGACTGAGCAGGAAAATTAGAGCCTGAGAATACATACCCCAAAAGTACAAGAATCTCTCATATTTACCATGAGAGACAAGGGTGACATGTGAGAGTAGATCTTAAGGGCATTGCATGGTGGTGTGAAAACAGCAGAATGTAAGCCTGAATGGGGAAATCTATTGCCAAAGGGCACTCTTTCCTGACTCTGGGTTTAACATCCTGGCAAATAGTCTTATAGCAAATATATGTTTTATAGTAATATAATATAAGAAATAATATAAGTAATAATATAAGTATAGTATAATAGTGTGGGGCACTAGAATTGACCACCCCAAGATACGTCTCTTTGGCATGAGGATTATTTTGGGCTGGTTACTTTTAAAAACTGCAGACAGGAAAGAAACTTTGAAAAGTAGAATTGACTTACCCTTTATTAAGAGACATTTACAATGTAAAGGAAATCTCCATCTGTAAAGGTGTCTCCCTCTCTGTACCAGGAAGAAGGGGGATGACCTTATCTCCAGAAACTCTTATCAATGCAGAAGGCAGGGACTTAAATCTGCATAATAACCTGACCCTTGTTTACTGTACTTGTCTGGTAATCTCCCGTAACTGACTCTCCCCACCCCCAACATCTTCCTTTGTCTTTAGCTGAAGATGATATTTAAGGTGGTGGCTTCAGTCATTTTGGGGAGTTGCTCAGTTTGCCTGAGCCTCTCCCATGTATACATGCTATAAAGCTTTGTTTAATTTTCTCCTGTTATTCTGTCTCATGTGAATTTAATTTGTCCTCCGTCCAGAAGCACCTGGAGCAGGTAGAGGAAATGTCTTCCTCCCCTACAATAGTAATAATAACAATAATAATAATAGGCATAACATAAGTAATAATATAAGTAATAAGTAATAATATAAGTAATAAATGTCTTGTAGTAAAAGAGGTAGAAATGCTGGAATTACCTTGGAAGAATATTTAAAAAGAGATCACAAGGCTCAGGGAGGAGAGCAATTTAGAATAAATTTATTATATGATTCCAGAGAACCCATTATTTGCTTCTGTTCCTTGGCAACTCACCAGAGGACACTGTTGTTTAAGGCAATATGGAATGCATTGCTAAAGGCAGCACCAGTATCTTTTTGTTTGTTTGTTTGTTTGTTTTTGAGGGAGATTAGCCTTGAGTTAACATCCATCACCAATCCTCCTCTTTTTGCTCAGGAAGACTGGCCCTGAGCTAATATCCATGCCCATATTCCTCCACTTTATATGTGGGATGCCTACCACAGCATGGCTTGCTAAGCAGTGTGTAGGTCCTCAGCACCTGGGATCCTGACCAGCGAACTTAAGTGCCGTGCCACCAGGCAGGCCCCAGCACCAGCATCTTTGAGAAGCTCAGTGATGGCTATCTGCTGAGGGCCAGTGTTAACAGAGTGGGAGAAACAGCCATAGAACTGGGTTCAATAAGGATAATGGCATTCTGGACTGGCAGTGTCCAAGGGAGAGCACTTATGTACAGAAGCAAGGTGAAAAAAATAACAATAATGAGCAGCAAGACCAGAATGGCAACCAGGACAGGGGCCTGTGGTTTGTCCAAGAGGTCACAGCATGTTCCTAGGAATAAGATGCATGGGCAGCCAAGAGGTATAAGAATGACAAGTATACCAAACTTGCATAATCCAAAAGGCCAAGAGTCGGAGAGCAGTTGTCAGTCACCACATTGGAAAATTTTGTTCTGAAAGCCAGTTTTGAGATCTATGCCAATTTATAGACCCAGAGCCCATTGATTGAAGTGAACTTTCTCTTGATGAAGGCTCCTGCAATGCCACAGCAAGTAAATATGATAAATATTTCCCCAATCCCTCCCCACAGGGACCTGTACTCATTTACCCAAGTGTGCAATGAGGAAAGGGGATTACCTAGACCTTTTGAGAGTTGTTGGATATAAGTTCTGAGCTGATAACAAGGATCCAAAATGCCATTGTGGGCCTCTGGTTAGAGTAGAGGCTCATGGAGGAAGAAGATTAATAGAGTCCTGGCACAAGTCCTTCTCACGGGTTGGTCCAATGCATTTGCCAACTCACCCTGGTCATGCCTCTAGTCCCAGAGTACATGATTGTGATAAATATTCTTATCAGCTGGCAAAACTCTCACAGTGGTTTCATGACCTGTGGAACAAGAGCCATTATAGTAGAAAAGGCCAGGTGGAGGCTCCTAAAATTGCCCATACATTCTCGTGACAAGACAATGAGTCAGAAACAATACTTTGTCCTGAGAATTGCAGAGATTAGCACTCCCACAAAAAACTTAAAGAGTGAGTAGTATCCTCATAATGTCTCCATTCAAATCACCTGTGTGTCCCCTGCAACAGTAGATGAATCAAGCATATGGTGGTGGACTACCATTCCCAACCATAGCTGCTCTGCTGGGTTTGGTATCTTTACTGCAACTGGTGAACACAACCTCTGGGACTTGATATGCAGCTGTTGATCTGGTTAATGTATTGCTTTCAATCTGTATCAGTAATGACAAGAACAGTTTGTTTTTACACTAAAAGGAGAGTGGTACATATCCATGTGTTGCTCCAGGGCTACAGTAAATCTCTTAATACAGTTTTAATATAGTCTGCAAGGACCTAGATCATGTTGCTATTCCACAGAATGTCATACTTGTCCACTACATTGGTAACATCATGCTAATTAGACTTAGTGTACAAGAAATGGCGAGTACTCTGGATTCCTTAGGAAGAGAACACACGCCTGAGGGTAGAAGATGTATCACACAAATTCAGGAGTCTGTTACATCAATGAAGTTTTTAGGGGTCTTACGGTCTATGGAGTCTAGAGGAAGAAGGACCTCTGCAGAAGATCCAAACTGTGGTCCCAGCTCCTCTGCTATTCAAGCCATGTGGCCTGGCAGATTTCATGAGGTTAGAGGTATCCACTGTGGATAAAAATGCTTCATGGAATCACTAGAAAGGCCTAATATGAGAGACACATTGCAGATTCTCCAAGATTCTGGAGTAACGGCAGGACTTTTGTAGCAGAGAACTTATTTGAGGGTGCTAGAAGAGACTGAGTGCCTGACCATGGGATACAAGTGATTATGTGCCTAGAGTTTCACAGCACAAGCTATGTATTATCAGATCCAATGAGTCATGAGGTCAAGCTGGTGCAACCGCACTCTGTTAAATGACAGAATGGCATATTTAGATCACATCTGAGCAGGTCCAGAGCTCACAAGTAGGAACAGAGACAGGTGTATCACTATCAGAAATAGGAATACCAGATCATCTATCTCAGTTGCGTTGTTGCCTCTCCCTCAAATTATCCTCATGACCTCATGGGGATTCCTCATGACTAACTGAGAGAAAAGGTAGAAAATAAGACTTGGTTCACAGATGAGTCAGCTCAATATATTGGCACTAATAAAAATGGACTATTGCCACACTATAGCCTTGTAGTAGTAATAGTAACCCTGACAAAAAAATTGTAAAGGAAAATCCATCCATTAGGCAGAGCTATAAGCAGTGCAGTTGGTCATTCATTCATATGGAGGGTAAAATGATGTGAAGTATGTATATACATGGACCCTCGCCAGTGGCAAACGGCTTAGAGGGCTGTGCAGGGGCCTGGAAAGAGAAAATTGGAATCTTGGAAACAAGGAAGTTTGAGGAAGAGGCCTATAGATGGATCTTTGTGAGTGATCACAAACCCTGTGGATTCTTTGCCTTATGTTATGCCTACCAGAGAACATTTACTGAAGAGAAGGCACCAAACCACCAATCTGTCTTACCAGCTGGGGCAAGTCATCCTATAGATGTCAGCACCTCTGTTCTTAGCCACCTCAGTGCTTGCACAATAGGCCCTTGAATGGAGTGGCTACAATGACAGGTTTGGAGGCTATTCATGTACCCAGTAGCATGACTTCCTCTCATGAAGCTGGATCTAGCTACTGTCCCTGCCTACTGAACCACCTGCCAACAACATAGATTAATGTTGAGCTCTCAATATGACACCATCCTTGGAGGACCAGCCAGGCACTTAATGATAGGTTGATTGTCCTTCCACCCTTCACTAATTTATCCTTACTGGAATTGGTACCCACTCTGCATACATGTTTGTCTTCCTGCCTAGAGTGCTCTGGAGTGCACTTAAAGTACCATCCGAGTGATTACAGATGCATGACTTTTGGATCCAATTCTTCAGATACTAACTGGATGTCCTACAATTCAATTCAGTTCTGACACTAACTCCCCAGAGTTAGTGCCAGCATCCACTTCAGATGTCAGTTACAAGTATTGGGTCCTCAGGTCACTCACAGGATTCCACACAAAATTTCATCAGACTCAAGAGATCCATTTTAAGGCAAAGGAAGATTTATTGTACTGGAGGATCTGGGAAGTCCCAACTCAACATTATGCTAGCCTTGTGGTCTTGACCAAGTTATTTAATCTCTTTGTCTCAGTTTCTCTTTCTATTAAGATGAGGATGACAGCATCCTGTTAAGGTGAGATGAGATAGTGTGTACAAAAGCCCTTTAGATACTGTCTGGTATAATGTTAGGAATGAATTCTGGATGTGGTGTTGTGGTTTGCAGGTGTAGCTTGTAAGGGAAGAAGTCTTACATGTTACAGGATTTCCCATCTGGTAAGGGAAGGAAATGTGTCTGCAGCAGTTCCTATGGCCCTAAGGCACAGGATTTTCCTGTAGTGTTTGGGAGAATATTTCAGATGGAGGCAGCTTTTTTCTTTTTCTTGAGGAAGATTAGCCCTGAGCTAATATCCGCTGCAAATCCTTCTCTTTTTGCTGAGGAAGACTGGCCCTGAGCTAACATCTGTGCCCATCTTCCTCTACTTCATATGTGGGACGCCTGCCACAGCATGGCTTGGTAAGTGGTGCATAGGTCCACACCCAGGATCT